AAAGGCTGTGGGATAATGATTCTCCACATGCAGGATTTGTGATTGGATCTCCTAAAAACCCCAGTTGCCCTTTAAAAGGGGGAGTATATAAGATATTTCTCCTGCCTTCGTGGTGTAGTGGTTCTGCATGCTGGGCCGGTATTCCAGAGATCCATGGTTCAATTGCCGGCAAAGGCGTTTGCTCATTTTTCATCTCTCCGGCTTTTGCAATTATCCTAATGTCTCTACAGCATCTTTCTTTCGGCAATCACTGAACGTTTTCTAGCAGCCATTTCTGATTAGTAAAAAGCAGCAAACATAGAGCTGTAAATACCAAGTATTTTCAAATGCTACAATTTAGTGGATCACTAATAGCATCTGTTGGTCAAAACCTAAATTAAACATCTAGTACTGCATATAATTTATTTCAGTTGTTAAATGGTGAAAAGGCAGGATGAGCTCCTCAATAAAGGAATAAAAGCACATGCCCACAAAAATCGTGGCATGAGCACATTTTGCTACCTTTGAGTTGTCCATGGAATGAGCAGCCAGAGGGTCAATTTCAATATTTTGCAAATAATCAAGCATTATAATTTATGTTAACTAATGCTTTTGTACAAATTTATGTTAATAATTTTTCATTAAGTATTATCAGTTATGTTTTATTTCTGTCATTATCATTTAATTTTGATGACCAGTGTATATATTCATAGAAAGAAGCATGAGTTACTTTAATAACTAAGTAAACACTATTTTAAACTACACTCATGTCCATAAATTAAGGATAATTCGGAGTCACGCGGAAATCGAACCCTAAAATAAATATATCACCTGTAAAATCACTACACACATCTTCAAGAATCATATGCAAATTTCAGGGAGTAACCAGACGACACCGATGGTACATCACAGTGACGAGAGTGTAAGAGAGTGATCTATAAGGAATACAGGCAAAGAGTAAATTGTTCGCAGGCCTTTATAAGCATTTCAGTGCAATAACCGAATAGTTATGACACAAAGGACACATTTGGATGATTTTTACATGGTAGAATTATCGGCGATCTGGAATGTGGGCGTACCCAACTGAAGTATCAGACGAACTTGGATTGCCCAGAGGTCACTCCAGGCTTCGCAACGATTCCAAGATGATGGTAATGTGAGTAGACGTTACAGCACAGGTCGCCCCCAGAGGTACAACGCCGAATGAGGACCGGTATTTGCAGTTACTGCCAAAAGAAACAGGCGGAGCACAGCCTCAGACCTGTCTCGTCAGCTCTCTTCAGCCACTGGTACGACAATTTCAAGGCAGACCATGTACAGACGCTTAGGCAGATTGGTCTATATCGTAGACCTGTCAGATGCGTTCCACTTACTGCAACTCACTGTCGCCTGCGGTTAGCCTGGAGTAGAGAGCATACATTGTGGACACCACAACAGTGGGCTTGTGGGATGTTTTCCGATGAGTCCAGGTTTGCAGTCTGATTCTCGCCGGACTTTCATATGGAGAGCTCCAGGTACCCGTTAGCACCAAGAAAACATCATTGAACGACACCGTTACGGTGGTGCAGGAGTGCTCGTTTGGGGTGGGATTATTCTGGGTTCCAGACCTGACCTGCATGTTCAAATTGGAACCGTGACAAGCCAAATCTATCGGACGTCATTCTGGAACAACATGTATTTTGTTTGTTTCGGGGCGCCATGGGTGCACAATTTGTGTTATGGATGACAAACGCTCGTCCTCACCGTGCAAACATCGTAAGCCAAATGCCTTCAATCGAAGGATATCACCGGTATGGACTGGCCAGCATTCTCATCGGACTTGAATCCAGTAGCATGTGTAGGACATGCTTGGCCGACGAGTTGCAGCCGTCAACTCCTCCTACGTGTACCGGAACTTCGGAGAGCATGCTTTTTGAGTGGTATAATATCCCCCAAGATCAGATCGATAATTTGATACTCAGCATGCCTAGGCTTGTACGGACTGTATTGCATCGTCTGGGACATGCAATGTATTAACAATCATACCAACCATGTAATATTGGTTTTTTTTTTTTTTTTTTTTGTAATTTGCTCAGGGAGAAAAAATTGCTAATTTGTTTAGTAATATCAAACATTAGCATCTTTTTTTGCTCTTTACCTTTTGTTTAATAAATAAGCTTTACAATAGTCAAATTTGTTTTGCTTCTAACTCTTCCTTTGCCTGATTTTGCATTATCCTTAATTTATGGACATGAGTGTATATTAAACAGGAAAAGTTAAATATTTTTATATATGCTGCTTATATATATATATATATATATATATATATATGTATAATTACAAAATATAAACGTGCCTAGTATTTTTGTGCATTAAGCTGCAGAAAAATTATCATTAAAGACGAAAAGTAAGACATTTAGAACTAATATTTTATAAAGACCAAAAATTGAAGTTCATAATTAATAAATTTCAAATAAACTTATAGATGCAACAAAGAATTAAAAAAAAATTCAAACCAAAACTCAAGCAAAAATCCCAGTTAAAAAAAGAATGAAATTTAAAGATAAATGAACAAACACAGAAAAGGAATTCAATCAACTTCAGTGCTACTTCATCGGGGGGAGGGGACATTGAAATCTGTCATCTACAAAAATCCTTTCTTTTCTGCGTCCAGAATTAGCCGATGAACCATTTCAATACATTTTAATTATAGTAGTTCATCCGAAAATTCTGGCCCTTCCCCAAAGCAAGGATAAAACAAGTAAATTTTAATTAGAATAATAAATAAAGAGAATTCTATTTTATTAGAAGAATTGAAAACAAAAGTAAAAAAACAAATTACTTCAGTTAAAAATTTTAAATCAAAATGTTTACCTTTAAACAGATAATCCAATGAATAAAGATGTGAGTGAATTTATAATACGTAGTTGAAAGAACCTAATTAGAACACACAAGAAGTAATTAACAACTTCGAGCACTTTCATTAGACACCAGTCTAAACTATGAGATGCGAAACAGTAGGGGCGTACAGGTTTGCCATTTTGGCTTCATTGGCGAAACTAAAAAAACCTTTTTGAGAAAGTAATCTCTCAAAAGGCTAAAATTTGGTACTGTATATTTATATATTGGTTTAAGCCCAAGCTTTGTCTTTTGGTCCCTTTATATTAGTCAAATTGTTTAATCATTATAAAGTACAAAAGGTAATAACAGATTAAAGCTAATTAAATAAATCAACATCTGTAATGCTAACTCTGCACTGTTAATGGAAGGAAAGCATTGGATGATCTCTTAACAAGAATTCTAATACTTGTTTAAATATTATTAGTTATGTATATATTTTTTCTTTTTCTTTTTTTTTTTTTTTCAAAACTTCCTATGGCTTAAAATACTAGAAAATATAGCTAACTGATTGACGTAACAATCATGTTAGTTTATTTTAAATCAATTTTTAAGGAATTATACAAGGGATGGAACTTTAATAGTGGCAACTATTTATTTACAAGGAATGCAAAAGTGATTCATGTCACCATGTTTTACAGTCCTTCAATATAGTCGCCAGCATTGTGTACAACCCCGTTTCCAACGATGTGGAAGTCGCAGAATACCTGTAGCAGCGCCTGTTTTGTTGATAGTTTGAATGGACCTGTCTACTGCCGCAAGAATCTTAGGAACAGTTTGGAAGCGAATGCCATGAAGTGGTTCCTTCATAGTCACAAGGGCTTAGATCTGGGGAGTATGGTGGATGGTAAAGCACTTCCCAGCCCCATCGCTTGAACAAATCAGTCACAGCTTGCCGAGCATTGTCATGCAAAATGAGAGGAGCGTTCTGTAGAAAGTGTCGCCGTTTTTTTTTCTCAAAGCTGGTTGGAGATTGTGCTCCAAAAATGAGCAGTAATACTGCGCAGTGACAGTCTGCTGTGGGGGAATGGTATGCGTTAGGATGACACCATCACAGTCCTACACGAGAATCACCATAACTTTCACATTGCTGGGGTTCTGACGAAATTTCGAACGTCGTGGTGACCCGTGATGACGCCATTCGTTTGATTGGCGTTTCAGTTCTGGTGGTAGATCGGGCCCAAGTCTCATCCAGCGTAATGATACGGCGTAAAAAAGCATCTCCTTCACGCTCATAGCGCTCCAGGTGGGTTCGGGCAGCATCGTATCGTAGCCATTCTGCATATCCGTCAAGTATGTGGAAACCCATCATGAAGCAATTTTCTCATGGACAGGCGTTCCTTCAGAATGTGCAGCACAGTCATATGCGCTAATCCTGTTTGTCCGGCCAGCTGACGAATCGTTTGGCGGCGATCACTGTCCATTAGTGCGCAACAGCTTGCACGTCTGCATCGCTGACACTCGGACAACCTGGCTGCCAGCATCTGCTACCACGTTTTGGCGTCTTTCATTGAATGCTTTCACCCATCTTGCTACAGTTCTGTAAGGCAATGCAGATTCCCCGCAATCCTCTTGAAGGCCTTGATGACACTGTCGTGCTGTACGACCTCTGGTACATTCAATTTTTATCCAACATCGTTGTTCTTGTTTTGAAAACATCCTGACAACACTTACTTTAGACGACGAGCTAATACAAGGATCCGTTCTTTGCGTCACTCCGCATACGCATGACATAGGCATGACGACTCTTTTTGCTGAGAGGTAAGGTAGGTATGTAGTTCACGTGTGGTATACGCGATATTCTTTGGTTTTGTTGCGTAGCGTTTTTTCAGCTGTGTTGCCACTATTAAAGTTCCAACCCTCGTATGTTGATCTAATATCCAAGTGCATTAAGAATTTTTTAATTAATCATTGAATGATTTTTTAACTGCCAAAAACATTGTATAGACTCCTAAAAGTTGGTATGAACTTCTTTCAAGATTTTAGTTTTAAATTTTAAAAAATGTGTAAAATTGAATAAGATGCTTTTTACTTATTAGGCGCATGTGATGGGTTAACAGTTATATATAAGTAGATGCTTATTTTTTAATATATTTTTAATATAATGATGACATACGCAAATTCGTCGATTGTTCTCATTTTAGTTTTTGTGCAGAATCAATGCCAAAGAGAAGACTTTTATCCTGATTCTATAGCAAAAATGCAAGACACTCTATATCTATCCCTACAGAAGTCAAAACTGAAATTTTCAGGTATGTTTTATTAGAAATTATTAGAAATAAGTCACCAAGTATTTAAAAATAAAGCATATTGGAAAAAAATATTGGCAAACTGAATTATTCATTTAATCTATCATTGTTAATCAGAACATTAGTTTTTTTGGGGGGGTTGTTGTTGTTTTTGTTTGTTTGTTTATTCAGTTTTCTCTTTTAAACTTCTTTAATTTCTGGTAAAGCCAGACATTAGACTTCAGCTATTAGTGTTTCTACAGGATTTGGCAATTTGAGCTCAATCAGCAGTCTTTGTAAATACATAAATGGTCTCTAAAGAATTAGACTTTGTCTTCTAGATTAGAAGAAGTCTCTTTCATATTAGTACACAAGTTTCCTTTTTTTTTTTTTTTTTTTACCTTGAGTTATAGTTTTGCTAAGCCATTGGCTTACTTCTGTATTTTATCTATTACAGAGCTATTTTTGCCATCCCTTCTATCTAAAGCTGACTTAAAAATTTCTCAGTGCTCACCTTTGGATTGGTCTTCATTAATGATTTGATAGTTTCATGATACTTTGTGAAACAGAATATCACCTTTACTAATCTATTTTATAGAGTATCATCATTTTTGCATTAGCCATCTTGAGTAAAGCATGGATTTCTCCATTTTCA